AGGTCCTGGTTTGATGAAGCCAACAGAACAACATCATCTGCAAACAGCAGAGATGAAATTCTGTGCTTCCCAAACCGAACCCCTTCTTCCCCCTGGCTGCGCCGAGAAATTCTGTCCATAAAAATAATGAACAGAACACAGTGTTCATATCACTAACACAGATTTCCTTGTCAGGCACCGACCCATTTCCTCTGGCTCCTCCTCTTCTTTTTGAGCCACTCCTCCCTGAATTTCTGTGCAGAACTGCTGTGCTTCGGTGATCGGCACTTCTACGGAGACTGGTGGTCAGTTGAACAGAAGAGTTTCTGTATGTTGTTATCAGATGTGCGACGGCGTCAGTAGATGACGACATGTGACCTTCTGTTGACAGGAATGCTACGACTCTGATCGCTTTCTGGAGGAACTGGAATATTCCCTTTCAGAAATGGTCTCGCAGGTATTTCACGTCTGTATTTTGAGGATGTAAATGAAAAAAAACAAAGCTTTGTCCTAGTTTTTCTGACATGCTTTTCTCTTCATGTGAATGAAGACATGTCTACAGTCGGCTGGTGGACAGGAGAGTTTCCTCGTCACAAGCTGAGCTGCTGGTCTTCCTGATGTCTGCCGTGCTTTGTGAGGTACAAACTAGCACCGTATCAAACAAATACTGTTCTCTCGAATGGTCCAGTGTTTGTAATTAGGATTCAACAAAGCTAGCTGTAGTCCATTATGGTCACAGAGCTAGAAGATGTAATCAGATTTAAAAACTGTGATCATAATCATTGTAATTAAATGCATTGTGGAACAGGCTAAAGAAGGATAGCATGCTTATCGACCTGCTGCGATGACTAACAGCCTCATTTATTTATGATTTTGTCTCCTGCCAACAACCTTTATTTTACTATTAACTTCTGTTTGGTCCAGTTAGCCTCCATTAGCTCCTGTTAGGTCTCGTTAGCTGCAGATATCTACCTCTGTCTTCTGATGGCTTATGTTAGCTCATATTAGCTAAAGATGCTCCCATTAATGTGAGCGGCTTCTTGGCTTCTTTGCAGTCCTAATAGCCCCTTCTGGCTCCTGTTAGCTTCTATTTTCACCTGTTAGCTCCAGCCCGCTCTGCTTAGCTCCTATTAGCTACAGATATCTACTGCAATCTTCTGAATGCTCTTGCTAGCTCATATTAGCTAAAGAAAGCTCGCATTTAGCTTTTTTGTAGGACAAACAGTTTTTCGTAGCTTCGAGTTGTTCTTGTTAGCTCCATCTGGCTCCTGATAGCTTTTATTTGCTCCAGTTAGCTCCCCTCGGCTCTACGTAACTCCTGTTAGTTGTTGTTAGCTAATCTTCTGATGGCAATTGTTAGCTTATGTTAGCTAAAGATCCCATCAACTCTAGTTGGATCATTTGTACTCCAAATAGCGTCTGTTAGCTTCCAGTGGTTCTTGTTTGCTCCCTGTTGCTACTGTTAGCTTACATTTTCTCTAGTTAGCTCCACTTGACTCTGCTTAGCTCCTGTTATCTCCGAGTAACTCTAGATATTGACGGCTATTATCTGATAGCTCTTGTTAGCTCATATTAGCCAAAGAAAGCTCCTATCAACTCTAGTTAGGTCCTTTGAACTCCAGATAGCTTCTTGTTAGCACTGTCTGGCTCCTTATAGCTTTTATTTGCTCCAGGTAGCGTCACTCAGCTCTGTTTAGCTCCTCTTATCTCCTGGTAACTCCAGATATCAACGGCTGTTTCTGATGACGCTTGTTAATTTCTATTAGCCAAAGAAAGCTCCCATTAACTCTAGTTAGCTTCTTTGAACTACAAATAGCTTCTGTTAGCTTCTAATGGTTCCTGTTAGCTCTGTCTGGCTCCTGATAGCTTCTGTTTTCTCCAGTTAGCCTCACTTAGCTCTGCTTAGCTCCTGTTAGCCTCCTATAACTTGTGTTGTCCCTGTTAGCTACAGTTAGCGGCTGTCAGCTATTAGCTCTCTGTTTGCACCTCATGACTCCTGTAATCTGCCGTTAGCTTCAAAAAACTCCTGTTATGTTTACTGTTAAGAGGAATCTATGCAACATTTTCGACGTAGTAAAATCTGCACAACATCAACAGTATTTATATACGATACATGTGTGTACTGTGATATTTAAGTCCAGATGTTTGGGCGCCGTCCCCTTTGCTGCTGGAGCACTACAAACGTCCCGACTGTGGGATGAAGGATGAGCTTATCTTATTTAGCTTCTGCTAACGTTCAGGACTGCCTTTAGCTCCAGTGAATAATAATGTTGCTGCAAAACAAAAGTCACGTCAAGCAAAAAAATAAAAAATTCATTTGCAAAGACAAAATAAACGATCCTGTTTCCACCTCCTGCATGAACAGCTGTTGTAAATGGAAGAAGATGATGATAATAATAACAACACTCTCCTCTGCACAGTATCTGATCGCTCTGCCTCTGCACAGCTGTCGTCTGTGGATCTTCCTCATGATGGTGTTTGAGGTGAGAACACGGCAGCTGCTCATTATTCACCTGCAGACGTGACTCAGCTCAGGAATCGAACATTGTATCGATGTTAAGGTCCTTTTCACACACATTTAGGTCAGGTAGACATCACCTGCATCTGTCCTGTCGCTGTGTGAGAGGAGAATCTGCTAGAGGGCGCTAAGCTAACACCGTGTCCTCCTCTTCCAGCTCATGGTTGCAGTTTTCCTCGGAAACTATTTCCAGGGAAACTATGGCAACGGTTTGGTGTGGCTGTGCCTGCTGCTGGGCCCTCCGCTGGCCGCCACCTCCTACTTCCACGACCGCTACGTCGGCCTCCATCAGCAGCGCCCGCCGCTGACGCCAGACCACAGAGTTTTCCTGCAGCTTCGCTAGTCGTGGGAAGAAATTCCTGCAGTGCTGTTATTACGAGTGACCAAGGATGTATTTAGATGTCAGGAGAAGAGTTATAATCCAAGACCTCTACCAACTGCAGCAATACATGCGCTGTATGTATATATATGTACGTATACCTCTGTAGACTCATTAATGGTGATGCTACGACACTTCCACATCTGGACGATGTTTATGCAATAACGGAGTGATTTCATGTTGTGTCTGAGTGTGACCGACAGACGACCTGCAGCCCTGTGAGGCAGCTGCAGGCTGGTTAGTGGGTGAAGGCCTCGCCGCTGTGATCAGGCTTTAACGAGGTGAATCAGGAGATAAGGTTTCTGCCTGGATGCCGCGTCGCTGCGTCACCGTGCGGTTCAGAGGCCCTCTTTGAGATAAGTTTACCGTAAGCTTCATGGACACGCTCCAGTCAGGAAATACAGGGAATGGTTGTGTGGAGTGATTTAGAGCAGCGGTTCGCAGCCGGCTTCGTGTGACGTAACCCCACAGGCCCGTCCAAAAACCACTTTAACAGAACCACCACTCAGCCCCATCTGCTCTCATCCAGTTAAACTCTCACTGCGAGGGTCTCTCTGGTCGGAGCTCTTTCTTTATTAGCTTAAACTTAGTTAATTTAAGCTAGTAAGCATCTATCCATTGCTTCCAGTTTTCAGCTGTTTTAACTGGTTGTTGTTAACTAACAATTTCCAATGTTCATCCACACTGTTAGCTAGCAACTTCAAATGATAGCCATGCTGTTAGCTAACAGTTTCAACTATTAACCATATTGTTAGCTAACAATTCCAACTGTTTACCCATACTCTTAGCAAACAACTTGACTATTAGCCAAACTGCTGGATAACAAAATCAACTGTTGATTCATATGGTTAGCTAATAATTTTAGTCGTTTATTCATACTGTCAACTATTATCACTTGCTAGTCATAATGTTGGCTACCAATTCCAACTCTTTATCTATACTGTTAGCTAACAATTTCAACTGTTAGCCATACTGTTAGCTAAGCGTTTGAAGTCTTTATCCATACTGACAGATGACAGTTTTAACTGTTTATCCATACAGTTAGCTAACAATTTTAACTGTTAGCCAAACTATTAGCTAATAATTTCAAGTTTAAGTCATACTCTTAGCTAATTTCAGCTGTTAGCCATACTGTTAGCTAACAACATCAATTACTAGTCGTTATGTTAGCTACCAATTTAAACCATTTATCCACACTGTTAGCTAACTATTTTAATTCTGACCCATACTATTAACTACCATTTATCAATACTGTCAGCTATAGTATCAATTGCTAGTCATAATGTTAGCTACCAATTTCAACTGTTGATCCATATTCTTAGCCAACAATTTCAAGTGTAAGTCATACTCTTAGCTAATTTCAATTGATAGCTGCCATACTGTTAGCTAATAATTCCAGCTTAGCTAGTAATTTCAACTGTAAGCCATACTGTTAGCCAACAACATCAATTGCTAGTCATTATGCTAGCGACCAATTTAAACTGTTTGTCCATGCTGTTGACTGTCCGCTAACAACGTCAGCTGCCTGCGACAGGGCTGGTCTGTAATGCTTTTGATCAGTCTTTTCATTAGCTATGGTTGAAAGGTGCCCTATTCTTATTCTTATTGTTCTTCATAACACAACTGAGATGTTCATGGATCCTAAAAACCCTCCCAGAACACAGATATTTTCTGAGTTTTGAACATTGGGGTTGATAAGTTAATAGGAAGGACATGAATCGGTGCCACATGTATATTTAAAGAGGACAGAAGAGGAAATGATGCTGCCTGTGTGTGTGTTGACTCAGCAGGGATGATGAAACTTTAAAAAGCTGATGTACAGAGAATAAATATTTGAAAGTAATCATGATGCCTGAGAGCCTTGCTGGATTATACTCTGTTATATTTTGAATTGCCACCTGGTGCCTGAATCCTGTGTTTTCTTTCACATACATAAAGACATTTACAGTCTCCAGAAGACAGGACATCTGCACTTCAGTCCCATTTCTATAAGAATGAGGAAGAACCCAACAAAGACATCTCCGTTTGGAGCTCTTGTTGACCCAGAGGCTGAATACGCTTCATGTCAGCTGCGTTTGGAAAATGCCACATGGACGTCATTAACAGTGAAGCAGTTCCTCTCGGCCGGAGACGAGCTCTGTGGGGTCATCAGGAGGAAGGTAAAGGTGTGGCTGGCGGCGGTGGCGGCTCACCTGAGCACACGGGTGTCATGCGTGCTCACAGGTGACGTGTGACATTTGAAGGTGCATCAAAGCTGGACGTCTCTGCTGGAGGTTTCCTCTCCGCTCACATCAAACCTCATGAAGCTCGAGCGCTTCATCACAACGCTGAAGCCCCAGAATGTTGTCAAGTTCTTTTATTGTGTGTTACAATAACGCTGGCGTCCAGCAGTACATTACTGTTGTTGTTGTTGTTGTTGTTGTTGTTACACCCCTCCTTGGCCCTAAGTCAGCCTGGATGGACTCCAGCCCCCCCGCGGTCCTACAGAGGATTATCGATGTTATTGTTGTTATGTCAGAGAGGCAGGATCTGTTAAGACTTGCTTTTTAATATATATTAATAATATATTTGTTCTTATTTAGTATTTTATTTTTTATTTCCTTTTAATTCCCATGGTTGGAAGAATCTAAACAAATAAGGTGTTTTTATTGTTTTTTTTTATTATTGGCGTCATCAAATAATAGTATTAATTTTACATCACTTTTTGCTAACCATACCAATAATTTGATTTATGTATCTGTCCCAATATAAATGGTAAGACTATATTTATGCTAGATATGATATATATATATATATATATATATATATATATTAATATATCTACTTTATTATATGTCGTTTTTTAATTCAACAGCAACAACAAAACAACATCATATTTCTGTTAAGGTATTTATTGTGTGTTTATAATAGCAATAATAATAAATATAGTGGTTACTACAACTATAATAACAGCATATTTTGTAAGGTAGTTATAATAAAATAATCATGTTTGAATTATAATATAAACACTGTTATTGTCACTGTGAAGTATTCATGTATTATTCTGACTACGTAATGACTACTGGTAATAACAACAACAACAAATGTGATGTTTATAACAATAACTCTGCGTTATTAGTAGTATTACTGTTTTTTTAATGACTGTTATTATCAATCTAATTTCTCCAAACTGTGAACAAACAGGTTGTAAAGGTTTGCAGTGATGTTCTGACATTTAGTGAAATTAAATCAGACTTCTCTCATGTTCAGTCTTTAACTCTTTGCTTTAATCCCATAAATAATCACACATATGTCTGTATTTACTGTATCTGCATGTCCAGTCAGTGATGCCATGTTTATCCTGTTTCTCACCCACAATCCTTTGCGGCTGAGGCGACGTAGCTCGGGTCACGTGGTTTCGTCACTGAGGCGGAAATGAAAGTTCACTAGCGACAGCGGCGGAGCACAGCTGAAAAAGGTACGGCAAAGATCCCGCTAAAGCGTCCGCGGTTCGCGTGTCAATGCGCACGGCGGGTTCCCACGGCGGCCACGCAGCTACCAACGCGGCGTTAGTCGCTGTCCGCTGACTAGAACCCGTTTTATCGGCTTGTCCTTTGATAAAAGCCCCGTACGAAGCTCGGTGGCTAACAGTTAGCTGCTCATAGGTCAAGCTAGCGGCGTTTAGCTGCGGCGGAGCGGCAACGTCGCGACGAAATAAAGACGCTCACAGCGACGAGGAGACATGACGCGTTAAAGGCAGAGTTCCTGTCAGCCTTTA